TCGGGTTCCTCAGGTGTTATCAGGTCTGCTCTTGAAAACCTCCAAGACAGGAGACTGCACAGCTGGCTGGGTCTGTTCCATGGCTGGCTGACAAACTGAAAAAATACCCACAAGTTCTTGATGCTAATAGTCTGCTTAATCCTGGTAAAGCCTGTGAAAGGGCCTCGTTTCATTGCTGTTCATCCTATTTCATACAGGACTTCCTAAAATTGTGTTTTCATTTTCACCAAAGATGTGTATTTGTCTTTTAGCATCTCTGTATGTTTACACTGTTCCTTTTCCTGAATTTAATGTCACCAAAGACCCAAACCTCTTGTGAAATTTATTTCCTTCTCAAGCTTAGAATTTGAACCGCTTCTCTTAATCTACAGTGGCTGTCCTATGCCTGTCACATGTTAACACCTTGTATCAAATGCCGGTGCTGCTTTGCTCTGCCACCTTCCCTTAGGTGCTTTCAGTAAGTCTTGAAAACCTGTAACTTTCTAACAGCCCAGTTTTCATTAGAGAGCCTTTCTTTCCAGACTTTCCTAGTGATAAGTAAGCTTAAACCTTACTTCTCCCCCGTCTTCTCTCCATGGAAATACTCCTTCTTCGTTTCCCCTTACTTGCATGAACCTGGGATTATTTTTGAGAAAGTTAGAACAGAAGTGTGGGGCCACATTCCTTCTGTGCACATGAAGATGCTGAGAGTCACCACAGCTGCAGGAGTGGGAGATCAGGATGCCATGCACCACTAGCAGAATGTTCCCCTTTGCAGCTTAGTACATCTGTCACCTTTGATGTCATGCAGGAAGGGTATGAAACAGCATTTCTGGTCCCTGAGTAGGGATCTATTTGCAGTGATAAGCAGTAGCTACTGACTGTATCTTCATCTTCTTCTCATCTTAATTCCAGTTTGCTGTGCTGATCATTAAACATTGACTGAGCTGCTGCTTCTGTTGCATGGATGTTTGCTGTAACCTCTCAGCCCATAGGTAGCTGTCTGTCTTCTTTCAAGCTGCCCTTTTGCAGTTAATATGTTATTTCAATGAGTTAATAATTCTTCCCAGTTTTCTGAAATTCTAGAGTTGACTGCCTGACCTCAAATGGTCATTCTCCCATAAGCTGTGTTTGATTCCATTGTGCTGTAATAGAAAGCTGAAGAGACAAAATATCGTGCAGCTCATTTTTAACATAACTCAGATTTTTACATAAAAAGGAGCGCTGTCTTTGTAGGCAGCTTTTTAGATGCTAAGGAATTTATCATTTTCATAATCTGAGACGGTCGCTTCATACGGTGCCTTCAGTCTTGGGAGAAAAATGTTCTCCTCTGAAGTTTCTAGTTGTATTATTAAACTTTGTTTCTGGTAAGAAAATATGGTAAGCATAATATATTATGCTCAAATATTGGAGTGATTGTCTGATTCTTCCTCACATGGAAGCTATGCTGTCCCACCCTTCCCCACCTTTATTGGCCTTCCTCTTCTTGCTTTATTGGTGCCCATAGCACAGCTGACAATGTATTTGTAAAGTGCTTATTGTGATAGCAGAAAGAAGTTGAGAGAGCAAATGTTCTCGTAGGCTCAGGTCAGCCTCACATCATCTCTTTCAGAAGCTGACAGCCATCACTGCTGCCTGCGTGCCATGGGGTTCGTGGTTTGGGGAGGGTCACAGCTTTCCTGATGCTCCAAACAAGGGATTGTAACTTCGTGATGGAAGATGAACTGTTACACTGCGTGGTTATGAGAGGCCCATCTCATGGCTTTTCAAGGAAATATCTCGTGCTGAAGTCCCAGTGGCTTGTTTCTGTGAGGGCTGGGATCCAGTCCTGTTCAGAGCTCCTTCGCCATCAGCTGGCTCATTGCTCTGGTCCATCAGCAATCTGTTTTTGGAGATTAAGAAAAGAAAAAAAGGCATTCCCAATTTGTAAACAATAAATTGTGACCTTTCTGTGTGCTGATACTGAGTCAACGTGATAGAGGAAAAAGGGTCACAACTTCATGTGAGCTGGAGTTTGTTCACTAAATGCAGTGAAACATTCAGCGCTGAAATAACCGAGTTGTTTTATTTTGCGTTTTATTTTACAGTGAAGGGAGAAAGAGGAAATAGTGATTTAACTGATAAAATGGAAGCGAGGTAAAATAGAGAATGGGAGAAGCCTTGCAGTCAGGACAAGATTGCCCTTTTCCCTTTTCCTTTTCCCAGAAGCAGGGCTGTCTTAATGGGAGTGGATGCTCACAAAGGCAGATGTGAAGCAAGCTTGCCGAGGCCGCCGGCTGAGATGTGTGAATCAGAATTCCAGCTCTGACCTTTCGATGCCTCTGATTTCCATTCCAGTTGTTGAGATCTTATGATTAACCCAATGAAGCAATGTTTAATCATTTAACCTTCCTTCGCCTGTGTTGCAGCAGTCACAGGAAACCTATTTCCAAACCAAAATAACAAATCATCTTTGAGAGGGACGTAGCGAGCAAAAGTCCCGAATCGCGGTAGGGAATGAATCACGTTGAGCTGAGAGTCGGCTCCGGTCCGTGTGCTCTCATTTTGGGGGATATGTTGTGCCTGTAAGTAGCTGATCTTTTATGGCTTTCTCTGACATTTCTTGTTTTTTTTTTTTTTTGTTTTTTTTTTAAGCAGTAAATAATGGAAATTGTTTGGCTTTTCTTTCGAATGCTTAGAAAAAAAATGTTAGTGAAGGGAATGTTCCCCGTGCAGGGTTTGGAACAGCAAAAAATCTGTTGTGAAATAGGTAAAAGTTGTGAAACTGGAGATCGTATGCTCTGAGAAATGAAACTTGGAAGGTTTTTTTTTTATTATTGCAGATGTCGCAGAGATTTGACTAATGAAATATAAGGGAGCAAATGAGCAGAACTGAACCTGTTTACATTGAAGTAAATGTGGAGATTCAAAGATATACTTCTGTTGTGTACATTGCCATGTAAATTATTTCTCTCTGTGACGACGCCACACCATGGGAAATGGGGAAAAATGTCCCAAATTTATCTTTTTTGGCTTATTTAGAAAGTTTGGAACAGAAAGAAAAATTCCCCAGTGCAGTTTGAAGGACCATCAAAGCTGTGCTTTCCGTGGGTCACTGTGTAACAGATAAGGAATGTGGAAAGAAGAAATAGGACAGAACAGAACAAAAAACCCCACAAACTATTAAAAAAAAAAAAAAAGGATCTAAGTTTTAAATTAAAAATAAAAACTCACAAATTAATGAGGTGACAAAAAATGGTCACAACTTTTTTTTTTCCTGAAGCAAATCTGTTGCCCTCTTTGCAGCACTTTGGTTGCTGGTTTTAAAGCAGGTCCTGCTGTTAGCTGGAGGTGAGCAGAATGGATTTCAGGCTGTTAGCTGGAGGTGAGCAGAGGGGATTTTGGGCAGCCTGGCGTTTTGCAGCTGTGTAGAAATCCTGTGAGGAGAGCTGCTTGCTCTTCAGAAATGTGACCAACCTGCTGCCCTGTGCAGACATGAGGGTGATACAGTCAGCCTGTATGGAATTGTGGTGTATTGAGTAATTGCAGTATGTTGAATCAAATGACACTTACACCTTACTGCTTTATTAAACCATCCAGACTGCAGGTGTTAATGTATGGATCCCCTGCTAAAGAGTTCATTCCTGCTTGTGAGCAGTAATACAGAAGTGCACTGGTAATGGGTCAGCATGTTAAAAGGAAAACATTAACTGCTTCCATTGAAATGCATCCTGGATGTATCTGAACGGTGGGATGTTTTATTTTAAACATCCTTTATTATGAGATTTACAAAGCTGTGAGAAATTCTGGCTTGTCTTGTGAAAGAGTAAGTCGTGTTTTCACTGTGAGCATCATGAAATGGTGGAAAAAAATTAGGAACTGAAAAGGCCATGGTCACATTCAGCTCAGTTAGTTTGGGGCAGGCATCTTATGAAATCCCCGCAGAGGAGGCACTGCTTCTGTTCACCTTGGCAAAGAAGAGATGCTATCATTGGAAGGACAGCGATGTTTTTTCATTTTAAACAGCACTGCAAATGTATTGCTGCGTTAGCTGTGGGTGTAGGAACAGGAATACATGCTGCCTCCCCCACGTGTGGAGTTTATTGCCTTTACTTGTAGCTGCGATCACACCACAGTGCTGCATGCTTTGCAGCTCACATCTCAGGTGCTCCGTGGGGCTGAGTGCTGTGTGCTGCTCACTCCATCTGCACTCATCTCTGCTTCGGCTGCTTTGGGCTGTTGGATGTAAAACCACGACGAGGGAATTGTAGTTTGGGAAGGAGCTGCCCTTGATGTTGGAAGATTTTCGGACTTAGCTCACTGCTAAGCTATGGGATTTTGTTATAAGTAGCAGCGTTTGACAAAAAAATGTTTGTAAATCATTGTATTCCATTCTGCAGTGAGACGTTCACGTACCAGGATGTGTCATCCTGAGGTGTTGCTCCATGTTACAGATAGCAAATCTGTACCTTTGGGGCTCTTCTAAAAACCTTTCATATTCTGCTGAGGTAAAAAATGTCCCAAGATGTAGGAAGTGTCATTTCTTTGGCTTTTTCCTTTAAGTTGCTGTATTTAATTTATTGGATTTTATTATGAAATCGAATTCTAGTGTCAATAAGATTTCTCTTGAGAAGCTGTTAATGATTTTTACGGCTTTGAAGTGTTGATAAACTGCTGCTCGAAGAGGGTATAAAAGCACAGCAGATCATCTCAGGTCTTAAGCTGGCGTGAGAAGTGATGTCTGTTGTTTGGTTCAGGATTCAAATAAGCAATAAGCATTAGAAATGTGTTTTCATAGTAATTGAACTCATCACTGCTTGCAGAATTTTGGAGAGCAATCTCTGGAAGGAGCACCAAAAACTCAAAATGTTGAGGATTTGACACTGACCATCTCTCTCTTCCCTCTAAGCACAGCATTTCAGTTTGGCATTTTTTGTTAATGAGAAAGTCCCAAAGCAAGGAGGATACTGCAATCACGTACATTTTGAGGTGCGTTCAGTTTAGGTTTGTCTCACTAATAACATTCTCCTGTTTGTTTGCAGGATTTTGCTTCCCGGGCTAAGCTGGCTGTCCAGAACCTGGTACAGAAAGTTGGGTTCTTCGGCATTTTGGCCTGCGCCTCCGTAAGTGCACTGCAGTGGCAGAGGGGTTGTGATCAATGGTTGCAGGCTGACTGTGGCACAGCGAGGTTAATGCTCTGAGCTGTGTTTTGTTTGAGTCCGTATGATCTTTGCATCTTGTTTGCTATTTGTGTTCTCTGCGCTGCGCAGGGAAATGGGATGGTTGTGGTATGGCAAAGTACAATGGGATGGAGAAACTCCAGTCCTAGATTAGTACCAAACACAGTGACTACTGCATGAATGCACAGCTGGCAGTAGTTACCCTTCCTTCAGCTTTACCTTTGGGCTTCATGATGCTAGTTCTCCTGGCAAAATAGTGTCCTTGGAATGGCAACGTTTCCTTTTTAATCCATCAGAAGAGTACTGTGCCACAGAGATCTCCTCAGTTCCTGGGTGGCTTTTTTAATAGAACAGTTTATTCTGTAGTTTAGCATGCACAGGGAAAGCTGCTAAGAAGAGTTAGTTCACTCAGGGTGCAAGCAGCTTCTCGCAGCAGGCTTAGATGGAACTGAGCTAAGGTTCCCAAAATTGACTGAGTGTCAAATGCATGCTGCAGCTCCCTGCTCTGTTGGTGGGTATCTGGCAGATCAGATCATGTGCCCCAGCCCAGATTATTAGCTGGCAAGTTACAGCAAGAGCTATATTGTTACCTGTAGTTCCTTCTGGAATTGTTACCTGCAGTTTCTGCTGGAATTGCTGTACCTACACTTACAGTTTCTGCTATTTCTTCAGATGCTTGTGTCGTGTGGCTTGACATTTTCAGATTCAAAGATAGACATCAACTGAAAGTGACCTGTACAAACCCTGACGGGGATATCCATCCATAGCAGTTCTCATAAATCTGCTCAGGAGGTGTCGGTGGGTTATTAGGAGCCGGGAGGAGCAGAATGCAGCAGACAGTTTCAGCCATGGCTGAGTTGCTCATCCATTTCTTTAAGACAGACGTGGTATAAGCATTTCCACTGATGCTATTTTGGCGCTTGAAGTAGCTAATACTGTTCTTTTGAGTTACTGTCTGAGGTTTAAATCTCTCTGGAAGCTCGAAGAGAATGAGTGGGAATGATGTGCCTTACTCTCCAATCCCACATACAAACGCATAGAAATGTGATTACTGCAAAGAGGGGAATTGTTAGGTCCCCTATGATCCCATTCTTCTGGAATAACCACAGCCATTAGCCAGCTGCTCAGCTGATGAGGTATTAATTCCACACTTGTCTAGCATCTCTTAGTTTCCTAAATTGTAGAGATGACAATGTTAGCTATTTGTTCAAACGTAAGTAACCTGTGTTAGCTGGAAAGAATTAAGCTGATTACAGCAGCTGGCACACAACTTGTGTTTACTAATCTTTTGAACTGCCTTAATGTTTAGAGTGGAGATGTAGGTTACAAGCTGTTCCTTAAGCCTTTCTGTGAAGCTGCTCCTGCACTCTGACTCACCGCTCTCAGTCACCATCTTGTGAGCCATCCCCTTGTCTGTCTGTCTTGTGTAACGAGAGCAGCTTGTGGTCAGCAGGATGAGTTCCTGGGGGAGCTGGGCGAGGTGAATGTGGACAAATAGGGAACGTGAGGAAGGGGTTGCTAGATGGGAGAGGTGATGTGTAAGCTCTGCATAGTTCCTGCTTAGTGATGAACGTTTGCCTAACTTCTTCCCTACGTGGTGCACTCTTCCTCTGTGTGCCCCAAGCTCCAGCTTCCTTCTGCTTGTATGCAGGCTGCCCTGGGCTGGGGGAGGGATGGGAAATTGTGGATCTACCACAGTGCACTTGAGGACTTGTAAATGTTGGTTGCAGAATAAATGCAGAGCAGCAGCAAGCAGAGAGGTGATGTGTGGGAGGAGGCATTAAAAAAAGCATAGGGATTCCAAGCTGTAATGGCTTCTAAATGCTACATAAAAACACAATCAAATCGAGTTTAAAACTGCAAATGTATGCAGTGAAGTCAACTGAGTGTAACGTGCAGTGGCAATAGGAAAACCATATTATTGTCTTAGGCCTAATTGCTATGTAAAGGCAGCTCTGGGAAAGGAATGGAGCAAGGAAGAGATTCTTAGTGTGGTTGGTGGGAATTTGTGAGCGTGCCCTCCTGTCTCTGTGGGCGTTTTTGGCACTTCTCAGTACTGCACATGTGTGTTTAAAAAAAAAAGCAAATGGAGAGAGCCCTTCACTGGCCAGCTCACACAACCCAACATGCACAACCCAACATGCAACCCAACAGCTCAGTCATCTTTTTACTGTGACACGTTTAATGTGTTGGTGGTATCACAGGTACCCGTACCCAAAGCATGCTGCTCTCTCTATGCTGATAGCAACACAGTAATTAAAACGCACTGTGAATTTATTGAGGTGGGGGAAACCCAAGGCAACCAGCCAAGGAAATAGCTGAGCCCTAGAGCAGGCTGTGGTGTGGGTAACTCATTTACCATCCTCCTGTGCCCGAGACAGATGTCAGAGGTGAAGAGGATTTGAGTTAAGTGAGGCATATTTAAAGATCGTTTCGGATTTCTTCCTATGCAGGTGGTGGTGTGGGTGCTCATAAATTTGAATTGCCTGTCTGTGACAGCTAAGTATAACCCCCAGAGCTTTGTCACAGATTTCAGATTACCATTCTCTACTTTTTATGATCTTAAACATCTACACTCTGTATTTGTTAGCGCAGCAACAGCGCTACTGTGAATTAAGCATCCCCCTGTGTTACTCTGACCGAGTGTGAGAGGTTGCAGTTTGGGTTCTTTTTGGTTTAAGTTCAGAAATATTGCACAGACGGTATCACCATACCAAATGTCAAGCCAAGGGCTTAACAATAAAAAAAAGATTCTAATTTTAAATTAAATGCATATGCTTAATAAAAATCTAATCAGTGCTTTTAAACTGGATGCATATGACTCTAAATGCCACTTTTTAATGCACTTTCTCAGATGGAAATCACTGGAGATGGTTTGACCGCTGGCTTCCAGGAGCGATGTGCTTGTCGGCGGGAATTTGATAAATCACTCAGAATGGCTTTGCTGTGGTTTCTGTGCATTTCACAGCGAATACTTTTTTTAGGCTTCTTTAAAATCAAGGGGTAAGGAGGGACCTTCAGGGTGGAATTGTCTGCGACATGTCTAGCTGAATCCCTCAGGCTTATGTTATGGGTTGTAACGCTCTTATTTTTGTAAATACTAAGACACAAGAGTTTTGGATCGAGTCGAATAAGGGGAAAAAGTTCATTTTTCCTGTTCCTGTTCTTTAAGTAAAACACTTCAATGCGTGCCCTTTTCTCCTTTATACTTCATAGATTCCCAACCCTCTGTTTGACCTGGCCGGGATAACATGTGGACACTTTCTGGTTCCCTTCTGGACCTTCTTCGGGGCCACTCTGATTGGGAAAGCAGTAATTAAAATGCACATCCAGGCAAGTACATGCTACACCTCCCTCCAGCCTCTGGGCTGAAGACTTTTCTTACTCTTCTTTTTTTTTTGACTGTTACACTGTGTTACTTCGTAATGAACTGTGGAGTCTCCTTTCCTGACCTGAAGTAATGGAAATTAATTTGGTGCAGAGGATTTACAATAAAGGATCTGCTAGGCTTCTTACACTCGAAACTGAGGCAACTGAATAATTTATAGCTACAAACTAATGAGCTCACTGCCCACACCGCTCAGGAAATTGGTGGTTAGCCAAGTTATTTACCTACGGTTTTTACCAGACTGAAAGGAGTTCGTACTCACAATGAACTTAACTTTGGTAAGAAATATTCATGTCACAGGGCAGTGGAGCTAGCCTTTACCAGTTAAGTGGCACTTTTAAATGCTCCCTTTTATCTGAGTACAGGGAAAACCCCGCTCCTTTCATTCCCTGCCCCCTGCAGAAAGCACTCTGGGTTTATCTCTGAGAGTGTTGTCCATCGTTTCCAGGCATGGTTAGCAATTGCTGGTGTTCTCAGTCTATTCTTTTGAAAGGGCCTGATTTCAGAGAGGGCCTTTTTGATTTTTTTCTTGCGAATTCAGAATCTTACTGGATGTTCTGAATTTGGCAATCAGAATCTGCTTTCAGAAGTGTTGAGTCTTGCTTTTAAGATGCACCACCATTTTGTCCAATGAAAGATGAAGTATCAGTTCTCCAATGATGGTTCACTTGTGGCAGCATCATGAACTACAGCACTCCATTTGTAACGATTAGAGCCTGAGATTTCAGCTTGGGCTTTTTTAGAGCTTAGCCATAGGTCTGTGCCTGTAGCTTTGTTCCTTGGAAGACTTTGCTGTCACTTCTTTAAAATAACAGAAACTGTCAGTAGATGCCTCATCAAGCACCCATATGAGGCTGCTTAAAAATCTCTTCCTTTTGCCCTAAACAGAGGCTTTATTCCTCCACCCTCTCTTCCATCTTTTTGTAAATGGTTATTTTGCTTTGCACACTTTTTCAACAGAAGATAACAAAAAGATGGGAGCATTCTTTCACTTACTGTGACAGAACTGCTTTTTCTCCATATTTATTTTTGTGTTCCCTGAATTCTTCTCCTTTTAAACACATGTGCTGTTAGAATTTGTTCTGGCAAATTGAAAACTGAAACAGCATTTGGAAAATACTTCTTTCATTGGCTTCAGTTAGGTAGGAGAATGTTTGCTGTGTAGTTCGTGGTTCTCTACACAGATCAAATGTAGGGTTAAAAAAAATTCTGTCTCTTGCAGTGTTGGAAAATCATCCTATTTTGTAATAGTTTCGCTATTAGAATTCTCTGCGATGTTTGATTTCAGACATACTCTTGTGCAATAGCCCTGATTTTTGCAGCGATCTTGCTGCAATTTGGAATTTAGGAAATGTAATGGTCATAGAAAAGGTTTTTGATGAAACCTTTCTCTGGACGGGAAGGAAGTGAGCACGGTGGCCGTCCTGGAGCTGCCTGTAACCGACCTCTTCCTCTGGGCCGCAAAATCATTTCATACAGTTGTGGTCACTGCCCTTATCTCCCCACTAGTGAATGCATTTCTCGTTAGATCATGCTGAAATTGATTTAAGGAGGCTGTGGGAACTGTGCGCCTGAATACGCACATCCACACTCGGTCTCGCTTGCTCTTTGCAAACAAACAAGCTGTCAGATATGACAGAAGAGAAATCAGAAAAAGCTACTTCAGCAAAATTATCACTTTAGAAGGGAGAGGTAGAATTACAGATATCTGGACTTCATGCAAACTAAGCCACGTGTTCCAGAATTATTCTGTTTCAAATTATCTGCTGCCTTACAGACAGTGCTAATCCAACTATTCTGAGTGGGTAGGCAGCCGGGGGCTCTCGCTTCACTCTCCACTTTGTGTTTCTTTGGTAGGGTTATCACATGGACAAGGGGACTGCAAGATGTATAATGTTCAGTTCTGTGATCTTTAAGTACATGTGTTTGTGTAAGGGGATGTGAACTCTTCTGTGCAGTGATGACTGTTTTTCCATTAAAACATTGTTGATGGAGTAAAGTGACCTTGAGCTTCTGGGAATGTAAGCTTGGGGAGGATGCGTATGGCTGGTAACACAGGCTACAAAAACATTGCAAGAAATGACATCCATGAGGAAATAGAGTAATAAAGCAAATAGTTCTCCTCTCTTCTCTATTTTTGAAAAGTGTATTGAATAGCAGACAAGGGGAAAGCTGTGCCTGAGTGCTGGAGAAGCTGTTTGATCAGAAAGGAGCAAAAGTTGTCTTGTTCCATTCTCTGCTTGCCCTTCAATCAAACATTTCTCTAACTGATGTTTTCCTTCCTACAGAAACTTTTCGTTATTATAACATTCAGCAAACATATAGTGGAGCAGATGGTGTCCCTCATTGGGTGAGTAACTCTTTAGCAGTCATGCCTTCGCTCAGTAGACGGAAAAGTACTGGAGGAGTCAAATCAGATGCACTGAAAATGGTTCTGTGCTTCTGGGTTCGGTCTTGTTTGTCACCTCATTCTTCACCTCAGAGGTTTCAAGTACTTCAAGTGTAAAAGCGTTGAAGGTCAGATGGCCTGGGTATGTAATACCTCCATTGAGCTTCCACTCAGCAACACGATACCGCTATCCCAGTTATGGATTGCTACTTTGAGCAGCAAATGCTGTTCTTGATGGCTTTCCTCAGTGCTGTATGTGATCCCATAACAAAGCAATGACAGAGTTGTTGGGATTTATGCAGTGTTCCAATAATAATAACAAACACCTTCTGAAATTTAAACTGCATGATATCTATAAAATATATTGAATCTCTCATGAAACGACATTTCCAGTCCGGTAATCCAGCAGCTGAGATCTCAGCAATGCCTATTTAACTGTGGAGAAGTTTCTCAAACTTCTTGAATGCAAACAAACGTGCAGCTCATTCATCTTAAATGCATTCAGTGGGGCTCAAATTAGAAGGATTTCATTTTAAAAATTGGGCTTAATTCTTCAAAGGAGCAGTTGTTGTGCTCAGGTTGAAAGCTGTGGCCATTTTCATTACACTGCTTGATTTCTGCAGTATTAGGGAGGAGGTTTAAAACTTTGAATGCAATTAACATTTATAGAAAACTTTTGTTTTTGGTGATGGTGGTTTTTTTAGTTCCTATTTTATGGATATCCCAAGCATAAAATAAATTCCTAGCTGTGCTTCCTTTTCCAGAGGCTTTTACTTTTCATGTGGAACAAATTGATTGATTCTTTGCACCCAGACTTTAATTGCTCTGTTCACGTTTAAACAACCAACCAAAAAAAAAAAAAAGCCACACTGCTCAGGAACATTTTCATGAGAGGGGTGTCTGGAAATAATTGCTCTTAAAGTATGTAAACTTGAAGTAGTAACGCTGTACAAAGGAAAAGGAGTGTCGAAAGAGACATGGTAGGGCAGCTTACTAATGAAACAAATCCCAGCTTTATTGCTTCCTCATCTTCTGATCGGGTGTCTGGTTTGTAACAGCCTTCACAATTAATTTGTGGCTTTCAGCATTTAAAAAAAAAAAGGGAAACATGGTGACTTTTAGCAATCATTAGTTAGCTTCTCTTAATATGTATTCCAGCAGATAACTTAATAGTAACACTGCTACAAATCTAGGTATGTTTCCAAAGGTTTTCTCTCCTGCAAATCTTCAAGCCAAAACTGGTAGTTTTTTCCTACTTCATCTGTCTTGGAGATAATTTTACATCCAATTACATAGAATGCATTCACAAGACCTCTGCTGGATTTGGGTTTTATTAGGTGGTTGATGTCAGAGTTAAAAAATGTCTTCGAGAGACAGTAAGATTTTTGGAATGTCCCGGTACCCTTGACTTTTCTCAATCTGTCTGCTAGCATTACCTCATCGATTCCTTCCTAGAGTGGAGTAGGAAACATATTAAACAATAGTTTTCATTAAACCCCTTATTATTAAGTTAAAGTATAGATCCATTAAAATACAGATCTGTGTAATGGTCAGTAACTTTATTTTAATCAAATTCAATCCAGCAGTGTGACTTAAGACTTTCTTTTTTTTGTCTGAGATATTGCTTTTACACAATAGAAAATGTCTAAGCTCAGTACTCTAAAATAATGAATCTCAGTATGTGGAATAAGTAGAAACTGGACAGAAGATGAAGTTGAGATGTGAGATAAAGTCTCATTTGATTTTTTTGAACCAGAGAGTTTCTCAATAACGATACAGCTCTCGTTGACTCAGGCAGTAAGCAAAATGATTCACCTGCAGACCGTCCCTGTAGTTCAGTGCTTGTCTGCTTCTGTCAGTGCTGCTGCTCCTGCAGGCCAAGCCTGCTGTAACCAGCATTCTTAAATATAATTTAGGGTATAATTTAGGGTAGTTTTGTCTATTACTGAAAGATCATAAACTGTGCCTTACGTTGATTAAATATATGAAGAAAAGAGCACGGAACTGAGAAGCTTTTTGAAAATTGTTTTGAAAACATGGGCCTTATTCAATGTACAGAAGGGATGAGAAGGGTTGGTTGGTGGCAACAGCACCATGCAGTAGCCATGGTAGCTAGACAGAAGGGGATGGGAAGGATTCAAGGAGTGAAGGCAGCAGAAGCTTTGCAATCAGAGCTGGAGAGGTTTACAAAGACACGGGTAGCTCACATGGGGCTGCTAATTATCAACCTGTTCTACCAGTTGAGGAAGTTGTATTACTGCTGTTTAAAATGCTGAAAGAATAAGGCTTTTTTTGTTGTATTGCCTTCATAGGCTCTTGGTGGTGAAGGATGGTCTGTAAGGTTTTTCTCTTGCATTCTTGTCACTGAAAGATGAAGTCAGCTTATTGATCATCCACTTAGAATCCTTGGATCCTGCTTTTAGCCCAGACCTAGCTCATTTAGTGTTTAATCATCATGTGTGTTGTGGGTTTTCTTGGGGCTCTTGAAGCTTTCCTTTTAATTTTTTCGTTACCTACAGCTGCAGGATTGTTTGTGCAGTCACACTGAGCATATTGCTTCTAAGCACCGTCATAGTTCCTTTGAAGTGGTAGTTTCAAATGTGGATTAAGAATTCCCAGAAAACTACTAAAGAAATAGCACTCGAAGCACACACCACACATACCATCCCCACAGCCGTCTGCCATCAATTCTGGGTAAATATTAAGAAAAATGCTACTCTCTTTTAAGTTCAGCGTGGTTGGTTCATATTTTGTGAAAACGAGCTGGTAACTCCACAGCTTCAAAAGAAATCTCAAAAACTCAACAATGTGTTTTATATAGCACCAGGCTCCCCGTGGCCTTCACCCCCGCGGCAGCCGAACGTCACCAGCAGTGGTGTGGCTCCATCTCTGCGGGACAAACCTCACCCTTCGGGCACAGCTTCCTTGGGGTGAACCCACAGAGGGTGAGGGGAGGTGTCACTGCTGCTTTGGGTTCGTGTGGTGCAGTGGTTGAGCTCTCTGTGCAGCAGGAATTGCTGCTGCCTGTAGCAGATCCTTTGCTGACGGTCAAACCGATGTAGTTGATGAGCTAATGAACTGAGGCATCACACTGATTTGAAATCTGATAGAAGCCACTAAAATGCATGTAAAAAAAAATAAGAATTGCGTACTTGCATAGATTTTAGAAATTAAATTTTAGTGCCATGTTCCATGGGTGAGACGTGTGAGCTGTGAAATCCATTTCAACAAACTCACATCTGAAAAGCTGCCCAAAAATAGCAGTATCTGAAGGGCTTCTTAATCTGGTGTTTTTGGGGAATGAATTTTAATGCTCTCCAGTGGTGCAGGCCAGTGTGAATGATGGCATGTCTTGAAGGAAAAACATTTTGGTAATAGGTCATTGAACCACTGCCTTTACAAACCACTTTGCTGCTATTTATTGTGCCATAATTCTTTGCTTCACAACTGGATCTCAGTTGATTCTTGTAGGGAGCACGGTGTTCCTTCTGTGAAAAAAGTACATGTGGAATTATGGTGACTGATGTAATTGGAAGCTTTGGTTAAAGGTCACTATGTTGTTGTCTTTGTCAAAAATTGCATACAGCATAGATTTAGATAAATTCTTTAGAATATAAGCAAGGCAAGGAGCTGCAGCGATGGGAAAAGGGCTGTGCCAGGGATCAGCTCTCCTGGGGTGGAGAGGTCCTTTTGATGATTCACACTGTGCCATATGATTCCCCTTCCCTTTGAGAGCACAGCCTGGCCAGGTGAGCTCCCCACGGCAGATCTGCCAGCCGTGCCTTCCGGCCCTGTGGGCCTTTGTTTTGCATATGCCATAAATTCCATATCCGGTGACTATGTCCTGTTTTTGTCAAAGGGTATTCTGAATTGCAGTTTCCAATCAGCATTTAAGTTAAACCCTGTGTAGTGGGAATCAATGAAAATACCTTGAAGTGGCCGAGAACACAGATAACTGAGCAGTGATCTCAAAAACTCCTGAGATGAATGCTCCTGGGAGCATATTGCCACACACCTGATGTTCTTCGGGACAATAAAGCAATGGCTTTCCTCCCACGGGTGTATCAGAAACCTGTGGGACCGTGCCCTGTAATACACCCTGTGTACAATAGATCAGCTCTGCACAAAATAGGCTTTAGCATCTTGAAAGGGACGCGGATGTCAGGGAAATTTGAGCGGCTTTGGTGTTGAAAGCCTTCCAGTGGATCACAGCAGTAAAAAGTTTATTTGCAGAAGGCTTGTAGGATTTAGCTCTGAACAAGCAAGGTTTTTTATAAAGTGTGTACAGAAATAGCGCTATCTCTTTAAGGTACAACCAGAAGCTGTCTTACAAAGAGCAACATTGAGCAGAGTTAGGAACGAGCCGTTCGAAGATGTTGCAATTCCTATTTTTGAAAGCATTAATTTTAACATAACAGAATGTCCCAAGAAGTGCTTTGCAGACGGCCTTGGTCAGCACGGGTACTGGAGCGTAGCGCCAGGTAGAAATGATGCCGAATGTGTAACCATTTCAGCTTAGTAATCTGCAAGTGAGTTGTTTTCTTTCTTCATTTCCTAAAACCAAGTGAATGTGCCAGGCAGCCCTTTAACCCCTACAATGTTTCTCTCGGTCCTGACCATAAAGGAGATGTATTTCCACGATTTCAGAACACTGGATGCAGATGGCGTGTAAGTTTCATCCAGTGTTCTGAAGCCAAAGTGGCAGCAAGGAGCTGGAGCTGCAGTTCCTCCCTCTGTGATTTTCAAGCCCAGGTTTTGCTGTATGTGAATGCTCTCTTGGAGCACCTTGGGAGCCCGTCCAGATCTGCTGCAGTGCAATCTATCAGGGCTGAGTCAGGCCCAGAGTCTGAGGTCCGCTCTGAGTCACTCGGCAGTGTCCGGGTATTGGTGGAGCCTCAGGGAAATTGATGGTTTAAATACTGTGAGAATCTTTATCAGCACAGGAAATGACAGCTCATTAA